CAATGCTTAAGATATTAGTTGACAGAGCTCTAATGCGGCACATCTCTTTTTTGTTTGATGGCATTTCGTTTGACGCTCGATCGATTCACGTGTTGTGTTGACGTCACAATAACCGGTGTAAACAATCCGTTTCCAGATTTCCGCTCTATATGCTGTGGGATTTGGTTTTGACTTCATACACTATAAACAGTCTGCCTGTTTGCTGTGAAAAGCCAAGTTTTTTGCCTACGTTTTAACTCGAAAACAAAGCAAAAACCAGCGACAAAAATACAGAACCACATTTTTCTATTACATTGAAGACCACATGCAAAACTAATTTGGAGCAAGAAAAAAGAAAAGCAACCAAAATCGTCACTTATCCCCTTTTATGACTAGCTTCTTCAAATGTGTAAACAAAGTCTGCTCCACAGCCTTGTTTATTTACTCTAAGACTGAGATCCAAGATCTAAATATTGATTTTCCTAAACTCAGTAACAATTACTATCCCTCAGTGTTGTGCTGCTCTGTGTCTGGTTATACTTACAGATGGTAACAGGGGTCAGTAGGAACCAGGAGGACAATGGAGTATTTCTGGGAAGGCAAATTTAAGCTTATTTCTCTTGTGCCATGAGAATGCGTCACTGAATTATGACGCATGCTCATTTTGCACGTATACATCAGACGTTCTTTTGGCTTACTACCCACTCCTCCCTGGCAAACATCTGCTAAGACATAGTTAATAGAGGGGAATGGTTATAAAACCTTGTTGTAATGTTTCTGTTCGCTTTTTCGGCCTTGACCATGCACAAAACACAATAGTTGTTTGCTCCGTAATGAGGAACTAACAAATGGTGTAAGAGCTCAAAACAAAAGATTATGCATGGTCGTGGACCTTCCAACAAATATCTTGGCCTCTTTGTTTGCTCCTTTGATGTTTGCTGGGCTTCATAACCATTCCCCTCTAAAAACTATGGCTAAGACAAACCATGGATTGGTTTGTTTTGGCGAAGTTTTTAAATAAATAAATAAATAAAAGACTTTATTTAACCTGAAAGGCCAATCAGTGATCACTACATATACATACATACATACATCACTTTATTTACCCTCGGATTTCAGAGTAGCTTATGCAGCTAATATCTCCGANAGGCAGCACTTTCTCCTCAATTATTTAAAGACCCTGAGTGTTGGTCCGGTCGGGGTTTGAACCTGCGACCTCCCGCACGCTAGTCCGGTGCTCTACCACTGAGCTAACCGGTCGGCGGTTGGATCACTGGTATTAATTGGCAATCAGCATTTACATATAAAATACAGCTATTTATAAAATTGTACTTTAAATTTTTATACTTTTAAAAACATGCACAGCTGTTAAACAACAGCAGTTCATTGCATGCAATAAATTGGGCCATTCCATTTAATACCCCCACCCCCTATTGAGGAGCTTTGAATTGTACCTCCCCAGAAAAGTAATGGCCCATTGAGATCACTTATGATGTATATTATATATATTATGTATATTATGCTTTTATTTTCCCACTAAAATGCTCCACCTTAATGCTCCATTTTTCCCAGGAAAACGCTCGGTCTCTTCCCAAAAAGTCTCTAAAATGCTCGGTTAGTGCTCATATATAGGGTTTCTTAAATTTTAATAATTTTAACGTTTTAACACAACAGACAGGGTGCTTAAAAAAACAAAAACTTATGCGTAGTATAACACAACGTTTTTAATAGTTTTAATACACCAAAAGATTCTCTGAATGATCTTTTAATTTGATTTGACTGCCACTAACCTCTCCTCAGTCTCCACTCAGCTGTATTAGGGTGGCATTTTGAATTTTTTTCAATTTCAAATTAAGTCCTCATTTTCTCGTAAAAATAATTTTTATTTTATTTTCTGGACGTGGAAAACAATTAATTTTCCGGGAAAATGCCACTAGAATGCTCGAATATTGCTTAATGCTTTTGCCTCACTAAAATGCTCGAAAAAATGCTAGCATAACGTACAACAGCGTACTTATGACGATATGTATAAAAAAAACACACCACTCGAGAAAAACAGTTGTCACGAAATAATATACCCTTGCAAACTTAAATAAATAAAGTTAAATATAAATTGCTTACTGATATGAGTCGGGGTTGTAGCTTACCTGTACATTTCTTCGTACGAAATCGGAATAAATTCGCCAGGATTCTGTTGTAATATTAATTGAATCGCACCTTCTAGCTTTGGCCAATGAAGAGAGGCATAATCTTCATCATTTACAGACGTAACTACGGCAAAAACAACAACAAAAAAGACACAAACTTAAGTTGATAATTAAGGAAAAAGTAAAAACAAAATGGGCTTCCGACATTATTTAGCGCTTTTTTGCCACTTTCTGTACTGTTTTACCTCTTGATAGTCTGAGTTGTGGGCTTTCTACAACACTCTCAGTGGTCATGTTGACAGACTTTTCCAAACCTTCCAAAATACGCTTTTACAAGCATGACAATCTTTTTGGCTGCAGCTCAACTGTCGCCCGCCATTTTGTTCTTTCTACTTTTGGAGTGAGGAATGGGGCGAGCGAGATAATTCAAGATGGCGGATTCGGATTCTGACGAGGCAGCGAGTCAAGCATTGCAAAAAGGCGAGAAAAGGAGGCAAGATAATAGCGATCAAGAAAGTGACGATGACTCATCTTCAGAGGCAAATACAGACGCATCAGATGAAAGCTTTGACGAGAATATGGTTTGAATTTATTACTCTTATAGACTTGTTCGATCTCCGTGTTCTTGTACGGTTTCCATGAAGCTAACGGAAAACACGTGCACTTGCATTGGAGCTGATTTGAGGATTGCAGATGATTACAGATTTCACGTGTTTGGTTGCACACACATGCATTCACATTTAGCTCAATTCACACGTGGAGGCAATGGTGTAGCTATGCTCATTAAGCTTAACATAAATTTTGCAATACATATGGCACTAGTGACTACATACATTGGAAAGCTCAACATATCCTGAGAAAATGCGGTTAAAAAGGTGGGAAGGGGTGGGTGGGGGGGGCTCAAAAGCTATGCTCATTGGGACGTTCCTTTTTTTATCCGCACCCCCCCATGGAAAGGCAGATTCCGACACCCTAGATTTTTGTTGTCAGAACCTTTGAAGTTTGCATCCGAGGGGTTTAAAATTTTGTCGGCTTCTTTGAATAAATATTCCGACAGGCACTGTGTCAGAGGTTGCCTTCCATAGAAGGTGTGCGGATAAAAAATGGAATGTCTCATTAAGCTTAATAGAAATTTTGCAATACATATGGAACTACATAAGCTTAGATTGGAAAGCTCAACATATCTTTAGAAAATGCGGTTAACACGGTAGGTGGGGGTGGGAGGGCTCAAAAGCCAAAAATGATAAAGAAAAGTATGAAGTTATACAGAAAATTCTGGAGGGGTGGTGACACAGGCAGCCCAAGACCACAATGTGGGGAGCTATTAATTTTCTTATCTTTATGCGAATGTTCAGTCAAACGTGACACATGCGGACGACTAATGGGAATGCACAGTTCTCAATGCGATTTTTTAAAATCAAATTTGGTCTTTTAACTGTCCACTTTTTGGTAGCAAAGAAGTTATAACATTATTTGAAGTAAGTTTTTTGTATGATGGTGCCGACAGATCGTGTTTTAACAGTCGAGCAAAGAACATTGCCTGTTGAGAACTGTGCACTTCCTTTCCCTGGTCAGGGTCAATTTGTTCGCCCGGCATTCAGCTTTGGCTATGAATGTGTCCATGGCGGGTCCTGGCAGCATAATTACTGGCTCTGGATGGCTAGCTGGCTACGATTCAGAGCTTTGTAGCATATGCTATGGAGATGAACTTGGCTTTGAATTCAGCTGAAAGGGGGCATTTAACCCTCAAATATTATTCTGCATAGGAATTGGGGTGGTTGGCATGCTTTCAATTGTTTTTTTTCCACTTTAAGCGGCAGGCAACCCAGAATAGAGTGTCAAGCCTGTACTTCTTCCTAGGAGTGGAAAACCCAAAATCCATAACTCACTTAAAAAGCTTTGAATCAATCTGAGAAGTGAGATGACAATAGAAAAGACAACAACGCATTGACGTGAGTCAATTTTATTGCCAAAATATCACAATTTCAGCTATAATGTCGATTACCATTTTCCCCATACAAATCTTTGTAAATTCAAACCGTTGTAACACAACACCTCCATATGCTGCAAGGCGAGAGCCGCGTTTTGCTTATTCAAACTTGGTCTTTATTTAATGGTACATATTGGCTGTATATGTCACATTTTGCTGAATGTTCGCATAAAGATAAAAAATATAATTTATAACTCCTCACATCGTGAGCTTGGGCCACCTGTGGTGGGGTGTGTATGTATGTATGTGTGCATGTGGATGGGGGGAGGGCTGAAACTGAAAAGCCATCCATGGGGAGAACTAGAAAGGGGTGTGCACAAAGTTCAATATTGTTCATTCCCTTTTATTATTGTTGCAGGAGATTCCTGTGGAATTTGAAGCATTTCCTCCAACAGAAGAAGACTTCAGTGGAATAAGGTGTCTCTTACAGCAGGTGAGCTAATTTAGTGCTAGACAGTTCCTTTAAATCACTGGACTTGGCTTCATGGTCAGTGCGCTCAACTCCAGATCAAGTGGTTTTGGTTTCAAGCCCTGGCCGTGGACATGCGACTTTACTGATGAAATCAAATGCAGGTCTATGTAGATTGTGTTGTGTTTTTGGCCAAGACACTTTACTCTCACAGTGCCTCTCTCCACCCAGGTGTATAAATGGGTACCAGCAATTTTAATGCTACAGTGGTATTACACTGTGAAATTAACAACATTGGTAAACATGCTAGGTTTGAGTATATCTCATCAATGATTATCATTATTAATATTAATTATATATTAAATTATTTGGGATGAGCTGACTGTATGACTGTCTTATGACTTATATTACTGTATAGCTATTCTTAAAGAATGCAGTGGATCTATCGAAGCTAAGTGATCTCATCATTTCACAGCCTGAGGTGTCAACTGTGATTAAGGTATGCTATTGAATATTAAGTAGCTTGTGCCCCATAATTGAATGAATGTAGGAAATGCAGTGGTCTAATAGCTAGCCAGTGTACTGGACTCTGGATGAAGTGGTCCAGGTTTGAGCCTTGGACAAGGTTGTTGTTTTAAATTCTTGGGAAGACACTTGACTCTTGTAGTGCCTCTCTCCAACCAAGTGTAAGTGGGTACTGGTGAATTTGTGCGTCAGGTGAGTCAGGTTTTTCTTTGAGTATTAGATACTATTTAACAATTAGATTATGAGCTCAAGATTTCTATGAGGTGATAGTTGATGGGGCCGAAGCTACACCGAATCAACTATCACCTCATAGAAATCGAGAGTGGATAATCTAATTGTTTAAGTAGAAATCTTACTAAAATTCACTTCAAGTAACAGTTTCTAACTATTTATTAAACTTTGCGCCTAAAAAAGATCGCTCGGATTGAATTGTCATTTAAAATTGAAGTTGTGTGTGCCTGTGCTTCAGTTTTTTCGATTATTTCAGCTTTTTTAAAAGTCAAGAAATTGTAAATGTCCTTCATTTAGACTTCTCAGGAATTCAATTACCCATTTGCATCAAAAATTTCCTCCAAATCTTTGGGAAAGTGAAAAAAAAAAAAGTCGCTATTTCCTAGACGACCTCCAGCCACTGCACACTAATTAAACAGTACAGTGTTTCTGTCGAGGAACTATCGGCTGATAGTTGCCCCGCGGAAATTTGATGTTCTTAAAACAAATATGCTAGTTTTAAGAACATCAAATTTCCAAGGGGTAACTATCAGACCGATAGTTCCGAGACATAAACATTCTATTGTCTTTATTGTTCACCACTAAATTTTCTTCCGCGTGCCAGTTCAAAAATCGTATTGAATATTTCAGCTTTTTTAGATGAAAGCTGTGAAAGCCAAATGTAAAATCTGAAAAGGAAAACAAACAAAAACCCTTTTAATACAATGTCAATTGTTTACTTTCTTTAAGCCTGCTTGTTTACAGAAATATTTTCACAGACGAGTACTATCCATCCGGGTATTTTCCTAGGATGGGCACTATAGGTTGATAGTGTCTCTCCGCGTATGAACACTATCGCGTCACATGATCAATTTAAGCCAATAAGAATTGGAGAAAATTTAGTGGTGAACCATAATGGCTGATAGTGTTCGATGGCTCAGCCAATCAGATTACAGCATTTGCATTAGTATACTAGTACAATTCTACTAAAGTAAATAGTTAATAATAATTATTATTAATAATAATTTATTATTAGTAAATAACAAAAATGACATGATCAATATTGTGAAGTAATAATTACATATTGATTCTGGCGATAATTTTGTTGAAAAAATACATTAGATTAAAAATAATTACTTGGATTAAAAAAAAATTCTAAGTTGTCAAAGATAATTTTGCTGATTATTTATCCTGTCATTGTAAAGGTTGTGAATAATGAAGATGATGATGAAAACAATGGTGAAAGTAAAACTAATGATGATGATGATGATGAGTCAGAAGAGGACGTCTTTGGAGTAACAACAGTGGTGAACCTTAGAAAACATCAGGTTAGAAACCTTTAAATAGTCTAGTCTTAAATTTTAAGCTTTCTTAATAGGTGGGCTGAATTATTTTAGTTTACGGCTTACATATTTAGTCACTATATAGAAGATTAAATAACTACTTATTTATTAATTATTAACTGAGAGTGAGGTCTTTACAGGAAAATCTCAAACTGAGACTTTGTGTATTGACCTTGCAATCACTCAGTCAATACGGCAAGGCCAAGGTTTGAGATTTTTTAGTAAAGACCAAATATTTGAGGTTAATAAGTTGTTTATTGTATCAGATGGCTTTCTGCTTTGTCTTTGCAGGCCCATAATCAGCCTGTGAGCATTATGGGAGAATAATGCCCTAGAATTAGCCAATAAGAGTGGGTCTTGTATCAGCTACAAACACAAGCCATGTAATAAGAAATGCAAAATGACTTTTCTGTTTTTATTTAATATACAGGATAATGATGCTGTTAGGCAGCTAAAGAAATTGTTGGTTGATAAATGTCGGGAGTTTACTTCCAAAGAAAACACTGCAGAATTTACAGAGGTGATGGAAGGACCGCATTCTGTGGGATTTCTCATCAGCGAACGTTTTATTAATATTCCGCCGCAGATTGCAGTACCTGTTTACAAAACATTAAGGTATGTCAAACATCAAGGTATGTTCTTGTCAAACATTCTTGATACTAGTGAAAGTGTAAATGCAGCAGAGCTTTATGTTGTGACCGCTGGGGCTGCCAATACAACCAAATTTTTTTTCACTGGCAACTAACTTTTCACACTTTTCACTGATTGAAATACTTTTGCTGGTGACTAAATCTGGAAACTTAGGGACCAGTTGGCCCAAAGGTTTTTCCCTGAAAGTCGAGCACTGTGTGGTGTTTATTGTATGTAGCTGTATCATGGCTACATGACTGCTTCAAGGAATAGGTGTCAACCTATGACAGACCTTATGGAGCTCATTATAAGAAAACTAGAATGGCAATGGCAATGAGAATGTCATCCCTCCAAAAAAGCAGTGAATTCTTGTGGGTAGACTAGAATATGTGCAATTATTACATAAATTTTCAACTGGTAGATTTCTTGGCCATCCTCCATGAAACATCAATGTGAAATGATGGTCGGAGTTCTATGTATTTTGGAGAATGATTTTTAATACCCAATTGACAATTGATTGTCTGTATTTCCATTTGGATTGAAAGCTGGTATTGAAAGATTCCTCCTTTTCTTTCCTTTAGATCTGAACTAAAGAAGATCCATAAAAAGGTATCATGAGTTTTGTTCCGTGTACTTACCCTTTACGTATATACACGATTCATGGACTGTTTGTATGAGAGGTGCTCCCTTGTCGGAGCTTACGAATGTGATGTAATCATGTTAAATGACTGAATGAGTAGCCAGGGTTCAGGACTCATGATCAGTGTCCCATTTGATTTACATTTATTTACAATATGGGAGCTGAGATGGTGGTGCATTGCTGGGCGAGGGACTTCATAAAAGACAACTTATGAATTTGACACGGTGCTCTTTCCACATTTTAGGGACAGGACATGCCTCTTTCCTATTTTGTAATAATATGCAAGACATACAAAGACATTGAGACAAAAACACAGAAAAAGGTTAAGAAGGCCAAGACCAAGGATTCAACGAGTGCACTGAATTTTATTAATGTTGAGGATGAAGTGTTTCTAAAGGTAAGGATGCAAGCTCTTAATGATCAAGATTAATTAACTAATAATAATAATAATTATTAGAAGTAATTCCATCGACTTAAAAACACAACCTGCTGAACAAAGAGCTAATAAAAATTGAAGTACCATAATTTTTAAAGCACTTTTTGGGGTAGAGGGGGGATTAAACATGATCAGCAAGGAATAATGGAAAAGCAGCAAATATTTAAGATTATTTTCCAGCGATTGATAATTAAGCTGTTTCTGAACAATTAGTTAGTCAAAATGAGTCATCATGCAAAGCTTTCATGAAAATGTGTTTTACTTGCAAGTTCATTTTCGTACAGATTGAACCATTTTCATTCAAGAAAGGGGGCATGGACTTGTTTTGAAACATGTATGACATAATACCTATTCTGACATTAATTGTGCTAATTTTCTATGACAAAATCTTTAAGTGATGTACATCCCACCTAATGGAGGAGTGGTAAATTATAAGGCATGTGAATGCCAACTTAACAGATCAGACTTGCCAATGGCTTATTGTAATGCCATGAGTTGAAATATTCAACTAAAAAGATTAAAAGAACTGATCTGGTTAAAAAGTTTGAATAATGGACTTTTTAGCATCCATGTCGTTAAATGGCTCCCTTGTACTAATAGATAAGTGTTTTCTTTTGTTTTCAGGAAAGTGAACTATTGTTCAGTTACACAGCCAGCACAGACTCTGATGAAACTCTTGTAGCAGGCAGATGGACTTCTGATGATTCTGAATTAAAGCCTTATAGAACTGTCTTAGCACTTTCTGCTGACAAATTTGATAAGGCACTAGAAGGCATAAATACTTTGCTCACACAGTAAAGGACTTGGAGTACCAGTAATTTATGGATATCTGCCCAGAGGGACTGTTTAAATCATCAGTTCTTCATCAATGGCATGGTGCACTTATTTATAGGTAGTGCTCTTTTTAGTCAAATTAGCTTCTCATCCAGATTCTACAAATTATTATGTATCACTGATGACAATTTTCACACCCCCTGGATCCCTGCGCTTGTGTCACAGACAGTATATGTCACTGTGTTTAGGGGATTTTGACTTGTGCAGCTATACTGCTGCTAGCCTGCAAACACAGACGGATTTCCAGCTTTTGTTTTTGGTGATGTGAAACAAAAGCGGCAAATCCGTCTGTGTTCGCAGGCTAATCTTCTAGAGCAAACAGCAGAAAATAGTAAGTTATATGTATACACACTGGAATTGTTCCAATGGTTCAACTTGGATGAATTGTAGTCTTGTATGTGTTTCTTACATGGAATGGCCCAACGAAACCAAGCTGAGTGATCTTCCTCTATACATAGATTGTGCTGGCCAAAAGCTAAACTTTAATTGTACGTGGTATGTACAGTACTTTTCACAGTTTTACAGCTGGCAAAATGTTGTACAATGAAGTATCACAGTTGTCATTGCTTTGGTTCACTTTTCTTCTGACCCAACATCCGTTCAAGACAGATGCTTTCTCCTTTTTAGGGCTGCTTCATATGAGCCCCATTTACTGGGCTGGCCCCGGCAGTTACTGAAATTTCGTTCCACCATTTCCTTTGTAAAAATTTGATGTTCTCATATGAGGTGGGCCTGCCCGGTTGCCAAGATCTCGGTTTCTACAACCAAACTTTGTGGCTCATTTTGGTTTTGCTTCTTCAAGTTGACCGTGCCAAAATTTTCCTTTTGAACAAACAACAAAATTTAATCCTGGCATCTGAGCAAGCCCGGTTACTGGGCTCATATGAGGTCCAGTTGAAAAAGTTTTGCATGGCTGTGAGAAGCAGTTTTCTTCCTGCTGAAAAAGTTAATGAAACCTCTGCCCGTCAAATCAGAAAACTTTTAACTGCATCCTACAGGGGTAACAAACAAATTTGTTTCTCTTTGCTTGGCTTTTTCTTCTAGCCTGCGAGCAGACTTGCTAGTGGGTTGTAGGGTGCAAAAATGGCAGAATGCAGGCAAGCGGACTCTATTCCAACCCTATTCCCCATTAGGTAGCATCTACTGTTAGCCTTAGGTGTCCTGCAAGGCATGATGAGGGATGAGATGAGACTGTTGACCCCCCAACAACCAAAAAACAAACCTTATTTTAACAGTACCCATACTGGTAAATCTCCACAGGGAAACGTTTAAGAGAAATTAACTAAGTTTCCTTTTCTAACTTGCACTCTATAGGGAGGGTGTTCACAAATGCTCTAGGGAGGCACCTTAATGAGAGGAAATCAACAAAATTTCTACCATTTCTCAATATTCTTCAGGTCACACGAGGATGGTTGACTGGAAAGGTAAAATTCACTTGACTTCCTCCTGAAGGTTATACACCAAATGGGAAATATATACCCAAGCTTACCCTATGTTTTCTTCATTACATGTAGTTACTTTGATGAGACAATACTGACCAGTACATAATGCAGTCCCTTGTAGTTTGTTTTCACAATAGACAGTAGAAATAAGCAAACACCAAAGTAATCCTGAGATCTCTGAAACCACTTATGCTGTACATGCATTTACAAAAACAAGACAACACACTCTTCCTTTAGTCTCAAAAGATTTTATTGAGGTTTATTCAAGAGGTTAATCTTCTGGCTTAAAGCATTTCTCCAGAGCCACCTGCAAATGGTAAGGATGAAAAATAATTAGTTGACCATTACATGAGTGGTTAAAAGAGATTTGTAGAAGCAAGACAGGACAAGGGGACATTCCATTTGTATCTGCAACCCCTACAAGAGGCAGATTCTGACAGCCTAGGTTTTTACTGTTGGCACCTTCGATGTTTGCAACCAAGGGGTTCAAACTTTTATCGGCTCCTTTGAAAATATTTTCTGACAGGCCTTGTGCAAGAGGTTGCTCTCCATGAGGTGTGGTGAAGACCCGGGGGCAGTGGGGGGGAAATAGGTCAATTTTTAATATCCCGTTCTATAAATTTAGTAAATTTCAATATAGCCCGCTGTTTTGAAAAGTTGTATTCCTTATTTGGTTGACCTATACATCCAGATACGATGGTGCTGCTTCTACAGAAGTCAGCAACCTTGTTGGAAGATAACGCTGTGATCGGCAATTTCTTGGAAACTTTTACTGAAATGTTTGTCTGCGATGAGAAGTTCTATTGATTAATTCGCTCAATCGAGTGAATTAAGTAAAGAAAATCTGAATAAAATGTTTTCAAAACTAGGTTCTCAAAATACAATGGTGAAATAGTATATTCTAACAAATTTTACATGTATTACATTAAATGCTGCACTCTCTTGTTTGCATTTCTTCAGTCTCGAGATCAGGCCAAACAAAGTGTACTGTGCACAACACAGGGTGCAACAGTTTGATTTGTTCATTGAGGTAGTTTTTGTATGCAAATTCTCTATGAATAATTTCAAATGGCTCCTGATAATTTAATGAGCTTTTGAATAATCAAAATATTATACCCCATACTAGGAAATGTCTCAGAAATGGATACCTCATTCTAGACCAGGAGTCACAAAATCACGACCGCATTGGGCAGCACATACCTGTATGGGTGTTGCGGGGGAGTAACCCATCCCCCACCCCCTGGGCTGCAGATACGAAAACAGGAATGTCAGAAGACAGATCATGCATCATGACAAACTATCTGTAATGCCGAACTAAGAATTGAACTTCACCAAGGCGATTAATCTGCCTGCATTATAAAAATGGCCATCGGACATTATGGGTGTACATGATTGTACATCTCAGTACAAAGAGCGGCACAAGACGGAATTCTGCAGTGCTAGTATTAACAAATTGATGTCTGTTTTTCATGGACCTGTCTTGTTTTTGATCAAGAATTTCATCATAACATTGTCAAAGTAGCTGCCATAGCTGTGGATCCACGAGGCGATAGCCTAAACGCATGAAACAGGAGACTGAAAAATCTGCACCCCCATTGTAAAATGAGCCATTCTTAGGATTCATTTTATAACCCAGTGTTTAATGTATAAAGGACTCTCCACTGTCTTTAATTAAAAGACAAGGAAAAGTTCTTGGTACATTACCTGCATAACCTAATAAGTAAAATTATACTTGGAACTATCGGTATTTACACATTTAGAGATATTATCTTTCTTACTTATTCTGTTGACATGGCTTGAACCTCTTCCTCTGTGTGCTTTCCCTTCTCGGCCAACTTAGATCGGTTCTTCCTCTCGAGAATCTTCTTACGATCTTTGTCCAGCTTCAATTTCACAATCTCCACTTTGCTTGGGTGAATTCCCACACTAACTGTAGCTCCATTAGCCTTCTCCCTCTGGATTCTTTCAATGTGGATGACCCATTTCTTGCGGTAAACTTGAATCACTTTGCCAACTTGTTGGCTCTTATAATGACCACGTGTGACTTGGACCTCATCATCTTTTCTGATGGGCATGGAACGAACGTTGTATTTCTGGCGCAGTTCTTTGGAGAGAGGCGAGCTCATAAGCTTTCTCCTCACACTCGAAGGTGCGGTAAAATGGGCTTTTCGGTTTTTTCTCCTCGAGGAAGTCACTTGGCTGTTAAGCTTCATTTTGAAGGCCGACCATGCATTCGAAGCAGGAGCAAAAGAAAGATTTCGGCTAGAGGGGGGCTCTATAAATCCAATAACAATCATTATATGATACCCTAAAACCGCTGAGCATAAACAGTGCGGAGCTCAAGCAATGCAGCAAAACTAGTCACAAATGCAAAAATATCAGTCCAATATGGAGTCTTGCTGGCAGGTTGGACACATCTTGTGTCGTTTCTTGCTAACTTTGACGTTGTTAGCCATAATAACTTGCGATGCGTTCCGTCTACGTGACCTCAAAAACACAGTACAGCATATTCCGTTGAAAAGAGTGACTCGGGAAGGTGTATTTCGATACCTTGGAGGAGCCGACCCACACTTTGACAAGGAACTAAAAGAACTGCATGAATTTAGAGTTCGGCGAAGCGCGGAAGGTTCGCTACGTGTCCACAATCACACCAAAATAACGGAAGAATTCGAACTCGAAGGAGATAACCACACCGTGGCTTTCTTACATTGGGCAGGGAAAAATAGTTCCGTAAGTTCTTATGTTTTCCGTCGAAATTAAAAGCTCACTCTGTTTTTTTTTTTGCTTAGTCATGAGCTTATTTGATTGTTTATAAACTTGCGTTTTCGTCTGTTTCTAAATTGTGCCGTGCGATTTTAACATATAAGCTTACATGCGTATACGTTGCTAGTAATCTTGAAAGCGAAACTTAAACAATAAGCTTATATATTATTGCAAACGTGCTCGCATTATGGAAGGTAAGTTTTTGTTTACAAGACTGCGAGTTTCTCATTCCTTCTGACGGAAATAATTCTCTAAAATATTTGCTTGTTTTATTTAATTTAAGAACAAAGAAGTTAAATACGATCGGCTGTGAAAAGCAAAGTTTTTATTTATGGTCTTTAATGGGCATATTTGTCACATGCCAACGACAATGAAACATGATCTTTGTTTGCAAGCGTTATTTTTTATGGCCCTCAAGGTTTTCTTGTTATCGTGTGGACCATTCGTTTTCGTGACATGTTTGCATTTAAGAAATAGAAAGCATTTGCCGTGTTTCTATTAAGTTTTAGCATAAATCTACTAGCGTTCTATCATGAATGCTGTTCTCTGATTGGCTACGCTACTTACTATCTATTCTGTGATAGATAGTGAGTAGCGTAGCAGTGTGTGCTTGTTGATATATAAAATGACGACTGCTTCTTGGCATGTTCAAAGTGCCTGTGAAGAGGATTTAGATAAAGTTTTGAATGACTAGCAGATTTATGCTAAATAGAAACAATTAGATTATTCGCTCTAGATTTCTCTGTTTCTATTCTAATGCGTAGAAACATGAGTGTAGGAAATTTTGGGGGAACAAGAAATGCTCTGGGCACATGATGCTATAGACTTGTGTTCTGACAGCTCTTTCGAGTTTTCCCAAACTGTCACAAGTATTTCTATAACTCAATAGAAACACTAAGAAATGTTTTCTATCTTTTTTGCCCAAAGAAAATAATGAATGACACGACTACAACAACTTTTCTGTTCTTCATGCATTTATAGCAATATGATTTTTCCCCAATCAGTGTGCATATTTTCTTTGGGCAGTTTCCTAAAACATGTTTATATGTTTGCATTGTCATGGTATTTTTCATGAAAGTCTGTTACAATAGGAAGGGAATATGACAATACTGTCTCTTATTTCCAGGTGATCTATATATACACTTGCGGGAAGGTGAATCAAACTGAAAGTGAACATGTCCTTTGTGAAAATGCATACTTCTGGAGGTTGGTTTTCATGTAGCCTGTATAGAGCCTGTTCTCCTAAAAACACTCTAAACGATGGACATCTGTGTGTTACTGTTGATAATTGTGATCACTGAATAATATTACCCATGCATTAAAACCATTTCAGGCATAATATTATTACATGTGGAGAAAACAAAGGAAATTTCCCTCTGAATGTGATTTTTGCACAAGATAGTTAATAGCCTAGTTTGCTATATTCACAAGTAAAATAGATGACTCGCAAAATAATGTCATTGCCAAAAGAAATTTTGGTTATGAATAATAAAGGTTAACGCATTGAACCTAATTCATTAGACGAAATGCACAGGTAAAATTTTCGCATCAAGGGTTTATTAAAAACTTATGTGCGATGTTCCCTTATCTCTAAGTGGCACTGTACATGGATCTCTTTTGATCTGACTTTCAAACTTCAAAATAATTTTAACTAGAATTATCCTTAATGTAAATCTCACTGTCTCACATAATGTTACAAATTTCAGTTACTCTCGAGATATTTGTCAGCATGACTAATAGATTGTTTTCATGCGATGTCATCGAATTCCAAAATCCAAAACTAAAGAGCCGCAAAAATTTTTATCCTCATAAGGCATAAGGGGATCTAAATCTATATCTGGTTACAACTTTTCAGCTCAATAGCGTGCTTGGTTTGGAAACCAGCGCTGTTTGAAGTTCGGAGTTATGACAGTGCATGACATACCGCTCCGATCATGTAAAAAAAATATATATACACTTCTGTAGTGATTTTTAGCCTTTTTAGTAGTTAAAGTATTAGGAAAAGTGCCTGTGTAAATGTTTGTTGGTTCAGTTCAGATAATCAGTCTCCTTGATAGCCAAAGTAAGTTCCAGATGGTTGCACTATTTTCCGGCTGCCATGTTGGTGGAGCACAGAGCTCCACCAACATTGTGGCTCCATACTGGGCTCTGTAAATTTGCACAAAACATTTTGACGAATATCTGAAGTTTGGGAAAACGCAGAGACCCAAAACTTGGAGAAGTGTCTTCTTTACCTGTCTCCTATAATAATAACATTTCTTGACTTAATCCACTGAATAGTTTTCGATTTATTTTTTTGTTGTGTGACAGTGAAAACCATCTATACAATGTAAAACACTTAGTTAAATGTTGCACTTAATTAATTAAACTGCAAATGATCAATGGACAAATCAGGTTGTTTTCCTCACATTCCAGAAAAAAAAAATCAAATCATGTGGCCTTGATCGTGATTATCATTGGTAAAACACAGAATCCTCTCTCTCCTATTTTTCTTGAGCTCAGAGTGGTTGGCTATAGACTGGCTATTTTCTTGCTAGGTGTATAAAGAATTACACGATATATGGTCAAGATGGCTGGATATTGGCCAAGTTCTTTTTTGCGTGTTTATAGAACGAGATGGAGTCGAGGTTCATAAACACACCAATAAAAATTTATTATTAGGCTTCTGTTTTGGCTTTGGGGAAATCTTTCTTGTGGGATATAGCGTGTCATCCCGAGTGGGCAAGATACATGTAGTGCTATCTCGCCCTCTCGGGTAGCCAATCATAGCACAGGATTTGGTTCAATTTGTCCGCTCACGGAGCTAGCCCAGTGTTTCCACCAGACCCCGCCATTGTGGGAATCCCGCGTTGCCATCAGAGTTGGCTCTCAGAAAAATGAACAAAGGGCCAATTTGGCCCTTTCTTTTTACAAGGCTGCAGGTTTCACACCAGCATAGTATTTTAAAAACCATCCCAGGGCTTGAAATTGCGACCGACATAGTTGCCAATGCAACCAACATTTCATCCTTGGCAACCAAAAATTCTGGTTGAGTTGCAAGCCCTAGGATTTCACGGTAACAATCGTTTCCAGTACCGTGTCGTTACCGTGATTCAGAGATACAGTAACTTAACCGAAAAATTGTTTGCCACGGAGATCTTCAGCCTTGCCGAACAAAATTGATTAATTTTTGATAAACGTTTTTTCCTGTTGTAATTCTCAAGAAGTGGAGTAATTTCTTTGATTAGCACTCCAGTTACATATGAAGCTAAAACATTGATTTGCGTCACCCATCCTGCGTCTTGTATCCATCCCAAAGTCCATCGCATGGTATGTGCAACAGTGTTTCGGCCAGAAAATTTTACTTGAGGGCCAAAGTGGTCCCTGAATACTATTTTTAGGGGCCAGTGTTTTAGGAAAGAGGCCAATAAATAATAAATGGTAAAAAATAGTTGCCAAATGCAAATTCTTGGTTGCCAGATACTAGTATGAAGGATCTGTGCATTACAACAGAATAATCTATAGGCATACGTGACGTAGTCAATGATCAAGGGCTCGCAATACTTTACAGGGCAATTTCAAACACGGTCAGTTTTCCGATGTAAGAGAATCAATACAGCAAAGCAAAAGTATAGACTGACTTCTCTTCTTATGTTGAATGTTTTAGAAGCAAAGATCTTTTGATATGGTTTTCTAGAAGGACATTATTTGTGAGAAAATAACGGTTATTGATAGTCAACACAAAGAAATGTAGTCACCATCATGGCAACTAAACCAGAATTTTTGGTCGCCAAGGATGAAATGTTAGATGCACTGCCGACCGTATCAGTCGCAATTTGGAACCCTGGGATGGCTTTTAAAATACTCTGCCTGTGTTAAGCCTGAAGCCTTGTAAAATGAAAGGGCCAAATTGGCCCTTTTTTGCTTTTTCTGGGGGCCATCTCTGATTGCTACGCGGGATTCCCGCAATGGCGCGGTCTGGTAGAAACACTGTGCAGTGCAGTCTGGAAAGGATCTAAGATGGCAGACAAACGGCTGATATAGGGCGAACCAGCTTCATCCCAGCAATTTGTTTACATGGCATATACTGCGAGGAAGAAGTACAAAAGTTTGTCTTTGTATAATTAAAAAAACATTCGGCAAGAGGTAATTTTGTACTGATTTCGAAACTGTTTTCCTGTTTCGGAGAACATCACTTTGTTTTTAAACGTAAGCTTACTAGCCAAGATCCATGCCACTGAGTAGATGTTAGCTCATATATATACATGTAATAGTGTTTGTTTCATATGATTGATACTATTTTCATTTTCATTTATTTGTGTCTAAATCGAGAGTGTGATTTTTTCACAAAAGTTTCCCATCACTGATTATTTCCCACAACCACTGGACACGGAACCGAAAATGTGTTACTGATGAAATTTGAAATCCTAGGGCTTGGAGTCGTCATAGTGGCGACTACATTTCTCTGTTTTGACGATCAATGACTGTTATTTTCTCACACATTATGTCCTTCTAGAAAACATGTCAGAAGTCAATCCATCCTTTTGCTTTGCTGCATTGATTCTCTCACATCGGAGAACTTCCAAATGGCATTGCAAACCCTTGATCATTGACTATGTCATTTATGCCTATGGATTGTTCTCATGTTATGCACAGATCCTTCATACTAGTATCTGGCGACCAAAATTTGCATGTGGTGACTATTTTTAATGATTATTATTTATTGAGCTCTTTCCTAAAAAATTGACCTCCTAAAAAAGATCTACAGGGGCCATTTTGGCCCTCAAGTAAATGTTTCTGGCTGGAACACTGCTAGCTGTAATAAATTTAACAATTATTGACATCAGTGTTTCATGTGTCTGGCCTGTTATTGATCAGAAATTTCGTCGTAACATTGTCAAAGTACATGTAGCTCTGAATCCACGAGGCGATAGCTGAGTGGATCCACAGACTACTTATTTTGACAACATCTTGTGCAAATACATGTATGTAAAGATCTGGGCAGAACTTATTAGTAGCCAGGAGTATACATGTAAGTTATGGGAAGTGGGAGGCTTAGACCTCTCTGTTTCCCCCTCTTCTCAGCTCAGTGAACTGTACAGACTTCCATTTAACTGGTTTGTTTACTTCACTTACCGGTAAAGAACTTGTTTGCATGTTGATTTATGGCTGATTGAACTTTTCTCCTTGCAGATCAACTGACTATGGAAGCACTTTTCATCGTGAAGATTATAAATTTGAAGGCTCAAAGACCATTAACAATGTGGATTTCTGCCTTAGCAACCATACAAAGGTAATAGGTAATCGTTTATTTCTCATTGCCTACATGTAGCTAGAGAGTGTATTTTAATCCGATCACATCATATGGTGAAGGGAAAATCCTAAACTAAATCCCTATCTTTAACTTTAAGTTCTCACCCCACAAAGTCCAGAGTTGTAAGTAAAGGATACAGTTTTTTATTGTTTCCAGCTTGCTTCTGGTTAATATGTTACAGAATGATCTAATTATAATACACTTGAGAAAATTAGTTGATTGTGATTGGCTCAGGGCCAAGTGGAGGCCATTGTTTTTTATGTAAGGTAGTATTAAGCTCACATACAGTGCTGGAAATAACAGTCGGTCATCAGACATTGTCTGACCAAATTTTGATATGTCCAGCCAATTTCACATTATGATCGGACATAATGTGTGAACATTATTTTCGCCGACACATTTTGACTTCTTCCTTTGAAGTTATTGACCATCTATAAGTTGGCTAGATACATTGTTAAAGGGCTCGAAATTGCGACTGATACAGTCACCAATGCAGCTAACATTTCATCTTTGGTGACCAAAAATTCTGGTTTAGTTGCCATAATGGCGACTACATTTCTCTGTGTTGACGATTAATAATCATGGTTATTTTCTCAGACATCATGTCCTTCCAGAAATACATATTGGAAAATCTTTGCTTCTAAATTATTCAATGTAGAAAAAGAAATCAGTCCATCCTTTTGCTTTCTCACACAGAAAAACTTCCAAATGGCTGAGTGGTTTGAAATCACCCTACGATGCATTGCAAACCCTTAAGCATTGAGTACGTTATGTTTGCCTAAGGATTGTGTCTCTTGTAATGCATGGATCCTTCGTATGCCTTCATAATTGTGTTAGCAGACATAAGCTATGTATGCAAAATAAGTGGCCAAAAAAGTCTTGGAAATTTTGTCTTTACCGATGTTATACATAGAGTCCTTATCCGAATAAAATTCCCACTTGATTTTCATCACTTGGTTGCCAAGTGGCTCCTCAAGAATTTTTTTAATTTTGAGCCCTGAACTCTGACAGTTTGAGCCATATTTGATAGGCAACTCAAAAAGCAGAAGTGTTCATTGTTCCTGTTCTTGCCAAATAAAGTACTCTTTAGAAATCGCATTATATGCATTGCAATATGCTGTTAGGACTTCATGTACATGTATGTACCCTAGGCCTAGAGTAAACTTTGGTAGTATATAGAGCTACATGTAGGTTTATATAAAACTATTAATTATTTATTTATGTAAAACTAGGTTTATATAAAACTAGTAGTATGTAAAACTAGGTTTGCTTGAATAACATATACAGAATAAGTGAGGGATCAATGGAGTCATCTAGTAGATAAATTCATCTAGTTAATCATAAATGATTATTTAGTACTAAATCAAATGTAAATGCCCTCTGATAGCTTGTGATAAAAAACAGAAATTTTGCAAAATTTTTGGGGCAGATTATGCGATAAGAACGGGTTGTTATGCGATGAATTAAGGAAATTATGTGATTTTCCCCAAGCTATTTTAAGTTTTTTTGATGTGGTTTGGGAAGAGGAAAACCACTTTTGGGTTGCTCCAAAGACAATTTGAACTTATGTGTATTTTAGGAACAATAATATGAACATCTATAGATGCGTATACCTATAGAGGATATTACATGCCCACATGTGGATACGAATTTTATCTTCAAGTGTTCAACTGGATGCGCGAATGAGTGAGATATTGAGTTGAGCACAACAAGACAAAATTCGTATCCACAAACAGGCATGTAATATTCTGTTTATTACATAAACACACTAATGATGACCATTGACCATTTTCGGAAGATTTCTGACCACTTTCCGAAGATTTGCGAAGATTTTCCAAAATTGTTCTGAAGGCCAGACGAACGCTTCCGAACATTTTCCAAACATTGCCAAAGATTGCCGAAGATGACCAAAGTAGATCCAAAGATGTTTTGATCATACATCAGCAAATTTAAGTGTAGTTAAAGGGACAAAAGAAAAATGATATAAAAAAAGGAATGATATCTTCACAGTGTGAATGATAAAAATAGTAATTATCTTCACTGTGTGGGATGAAGATATGATTTTTTAGGAAAAGGGAAAATCCTGGTATTTCACTGGTGTTTATATAATAAATTGGAATAAAAAAAGACTTGACGTGCTTGTCCACCACAGACTTCTGAAGATAATTGATTACAACAACAAACAAAACATCTTCAGCCTATCATCCAAGTGGAAGGGGTATTTTCTTCAATCTTTTGTAGATACATTTGGTAGAAGGTGCGATTCAGTCTTTTCAGTCCAAGAAACAGCGGGTGTTTTCAGTACAAACTTATCCAAGAGCAGCGTATGTTTTATTTCATAGTCCACAAAAGAAACTACATTTTCCGTCAAAATAAACAACGCTTTGATCATTAGTTGTCGTTATATGTACCAACAATTCTGATTGACCAAAGCAAAGAAAGGGATTGTTTGCATTACACCAGTAGGCAATTCTTTGAGAATGAAAACTAGTACCAGTCCCTGGATGTCCAAAAAATGCCTTGAACTTTGATTGTTTACAAAATCAAAGATTGTAGAAGATATTTTTCAAGACTTTTTCAAAGGGAAATCATCTTGAAATGACAAGTAGATGCAGGATTTTTCCAGATAAAACGTTTACTAATGGTTTATTTTGTTAAAATTACACTATTTTTCATGAATTATGCGATTTTTCATGAATAGTGTGATCGGATGTGATTTGAGGTCCATTGTGCGAAATCGCACCATCGTGTAATATCAAAAGGCCTGAAAAGAGTGACAAACACCTGGCAATTACACAAAGTTTTATGTAGTTACAGAAAGTACTCCTTTGCATTTGTCATTCATTTGGCTTAATTGCCCATTGCAGTTACTGTAAATAAAATACATACAGTACAGGTACATGTATCATGTTGTGGAAACTTATTGATTTTACTGATTCACTGGGAAAAATTAATAATTATTATTGATCTTATCCCGATATATTGAACAATATTATTAGTTACTTTGCCACCAAATTGGGAGTTCGTTTACAACGATATCCTGATTTAACAATATAATTTTGTTGTCTCCTGGCCATATCTTCGAATCCGGGTTCCACTTTAATAATCAAATATCATCTTGTCATTGACGTGTTCTCCAGGTTATCGTGAGTGTCTTGAAGCCCAAGACTACCCTCTACATTTCCGAGGATGAAGGGAAAACCTTTAGAAGAGTTCCTGTGAATTTCTCTCCTCATGTGATTTCTTGTAATCCTGTATCAGACCATCTTATTGTTGCTCAGGATCAAGATACGAAAAAGGTTTGTGGAAGATATATTTAATTAACTCTTTCACTCATTTCAGTATTTCCAGTTTTGTCCAAGTTACATACATGTACTAATCTAAAAATTTCACTAGTTTTGAAAAGCCAATATTACGGTTCAACGCTTGGGGAAATAGATAGTGGCCGTTTAAAGGAGGCTGGCCACTTAATAGAGGTAACAACAATAGAAAAGCCCTCATCGGGACTTTGCTAACTGGCCACCTAATAGGGTGAGTGTTTAATAGGTTGCTGCATAATAGGGGTTTGACTGTAGAGAGGGTTTTGCAATAACATTCATTTCAATGGTACAAGTATGCACATTGGTGTCACTGAGGAAACAGAAAATGTGACGAAACTGTGTATTAAAATTATATCAAACGCTTAATGACTGGCCTCCAAAGAAACAGTGAGTTTTGTTTTCCCTAGACCCTTGATGTTCTGTGAGGTGAAGCAGAAGGAAACATTGAGGGTCAAGGGGAAACAAAACTCCCTGTTTCCTGTGGGGTCAGTCATTAAGTGCTTTGTTATACCTCCCAACTAATGCTGGCTCAGACACAAATTTGCTCTGGTTTCAAGTAACATGTGCGAATCCAGTCAAGTCATGTTCAAGTGATCATGTGTGAGTCAAAAGTTCTAGTTGTTGTTTCCCTAAGGAGTTAGTGACTTTTGATGTGCAACATGTGACTTGATCTGACCTCCATTTTGATAGCTTATTTGAGTTGGCAGGTATAACAATGCTTGTTGTTTCCTTTGAACACCATTTAATAGTTATGTAACCTTTTTTTGGAAATCTAGGGATGGTGAATAATAAATGGGAGACATCGCGAGAAGGCGAGACTAGTGTTTTTCTTTGCAATACTGAGATATTGTTAGTAACTTCTTCAATTGCGAGACCAAGACTTCAAATTGTTTTAAATGTGAGCTCCAGATGTTGAGGTTCTAAGATTTTCAGACAAAATTTCTTAAAGCAAACAAATCGGTACTTTGAGACTTTCTTAGCCTTCCAAAAATTGAGACTGTGAGACGCAAATAACTATTAAAAAATTGAGACAGTCACAGTGATACCCATGAAATTTGATGAAAATTTAATATTATGGTGAGAACCATGGATGTTTTTTTGAAGGACCATTGGCTACCCCTAGATCTAAAGTAAAAGAAGGAAATAGAAGGTTGTCATTCAAAGGTTGTCTACACCGCCAATTGATGTATACATGTAGTTCATGCATACAGTACCACTCCGAATTAGCTTATAATTGACAGAGAACAGAAAAAAGAATTTTTTAATGGGAATGTTGTGAAACACAAAGAAAGCACTGAAATACCTGTGAATTCTTCTCTATTTTAGGTTTACTATTTCAAGGATGGGGGCACACGATGGACTGAACTCTCTGACAAGGTCGTGAGACATTACTGGTGAGAAAAAGTCAAATACATGTGATTTTTGCATCCACATTACCTGAATTTCCAAAAATAAGAATCTTAAAAACTTCCAAACATCACCAAGGAAGTTCCAACAACTTCCCAACTTTGACAAGAGATTTCTGAAGATGTTGTCAGTGATGAATTTAGGACTCAAATGTGATACATGTATTTAGCACTGTTCATTAAACTATTTTGGGTGGAAATTGAATTCAGTTTTTCATGCTTATGTAATGGATGCTAAACAAGTAGTCTTGAATTGTGAGTCATGGGTGTGACATTATCTTGCACATCTATGTGTGTGATTGACGGTTTCCATCGACAGGCGTGTAACACACTCATGATGCATACACTCAGGTGAGTTTGCAGGTACATGTGTACAGTTTGCTGACAGCTGGCCATTTCCTGGTTTTCTGTTAAACAACTGTTGGCCATTTGTCTGTTGATAGTTGTCATTTGTCAGCCATGTTCATTGTTCAATAGTGGGCTGACAGTTGTAAAGGTTTTAGAATAAAATGTTGCACTCCAACAAGCCCTATGGTGGAATCTTCAGTGTAGCAGGAGGAGAGGGAGACCACGTAACAGCTGGAGAAGGGATACAGATCGCACCATCCAGTCGAAAAGCTACACATGGACCGAGATGGAACACTTGGCCAGGGACAGAGGGGACTGGAAGTGATCTGTCAGTGGCCTATACTCTGAAATGGAGTGAAATGGCTTCAGATCAGATCAGTTCCACCCCTTAAGGTCTTTTGGCATATGTTATCTTTGGACTCTGGCTAGTATAGAACCAGAAGTCTCAGGGCTGGGCACAGGGAAAATGGACCAGTTGCGAGGATGACTTTGCTTGCCTGGTTTGACCATCTAGAGGAAAGATTGTTTTATAAAGAAGTTTAGTTCAAAACGTTTTTCCCGTGTGTGAAAACCAGTTGCCCTGTGGGTGAAAACGTTATTGAAACCTGGCTGATAGAACTCATCTGAAATGATTTGTGAATTTTGTGTGTGTATGTGTGTAGTGTTTCAACAGAGTTGTTGTTGATTTTTTTTTTAAATCTCTTTCACACCAATTATTATTACCAGTTATTAATTGACCAATAATTTTGTTTTTTTTAGGGGATCTCATCATGTTGAAGGATGGGGTAAAGTACTCTTCCTTGAAGTGCAGGATAAATCAAAATGTAAGTGGAATATATAAATTATTGCGTACGTCTTACCATATTTGCAAAAACATGCTGGCAAAGAGTGCAAAGACAGTCCCAGCAGCTACAACTGCCATGATCACTCCCCTGGCTAGGAGATTGGCCCATCACACATGTACATGACATGTCATTGTGCCTCTCCAGCAGGGTCCCATGTCAACACAGAACCCTCAAGCAATGTTCAACAACTGAGCAAAGTGCCCAGCCACACAGTCAATGTCAACCTTATGTGGCACTGAGAACTCAAGTCTTGCTAAGTGAAGGAGATAGGAAATGACACTCTTCTCTGCTTTTGACAGCTGGCCCCCGGCAAACCACTAGCAGATGTGCCAGTGCCTGGGCATGTCCTCATCCCAGCCTTGACGGGTGAAAACCTAGCAGGCATGTTTTTGCGAAATCGCTCAGATGTACATGTATTGATCTCCAGTTGCAATCTTTTATTATCCATAGCAGGGACAGATATCTTTAGCCTGGGTTGATCAGTAGCTATGCCCACTAACCCACATGTAATTTTACTAGTTAGTATGGAAAATGTGTCTGCATGTATTGTGAGATAAGAGATTCACTGAGTGATCCTGATTGCTGCCATTTTCTCTAGCCATGTCCCATGGATTGGAGTTCTAAATCAAACTCCCTACTTATTGTTCAATTTTAATCCAGCTTAAGTGTTGGACATTTTTATTTAATTATATTGACCAGGCTGCCTGTAGGGGGGCTGTCCCGTGTATTGATGTCGCTGAACGTGAAGTAACATTGTACAGTCACATTAATTGAATGTCAACAACAACAACAACAACAACAACAACAACTTCATTGGTACTCATACTTAGAATTAAAGTTCACAAAAATAAGTTTTAAAATAAAGCAAGTACATGACTGCCCAAAATAACCATTAGTTAATGGGTTAATTAAGACTGGGCAGGTATCCTTAGTGATTACAGCAATTATTTATTAGGGTCAGATACTAGAAGAGAAAATAAGATAAAGACACATACAACAGCACACATAGCACACACACAAAAAAGACTAAGTATGTAACCTTGCAACATTCCCTCAGGCCCTGTTCTAGATCAGATTATGCTTCTTTTGAAATTTTGTTTCACCAGAAGCCACAGCCTTTGACGTTGAAAGAATTATTACAGGCTGTACATGTCACAATTTTTTCTGTAGACAATCTTGAACTTTGGATTGTTGTAATTTATTGCAGCTCACACTCAGGGAAATTATAGTATTTGTGAGTAAACACAACTCAATCCCAGTCTTGAAATGTGTAAATTGAGGCTTTTTGTTTTCTCAAGGATATTAATAAGTGGTTTATGCTGTCTAGTTTTGTTTTAAATGCTAACTGATGACCACAGACTGTAGCTACTGTAGACAAACATTATCACTTGTAAAGGAGTGACCAAACAGATGTCTTACAAAAATCATTTGAACATACAGGAAAAGGCAGGAAAAAAATTGTTGTTCACATACAGCTGTACATATAATTAAGAAAACTTTAATGCTGTAAATCCTCGAATTAGCACCTGGGGTGCTTATTTCAAATTTAGGAGAAGACGGGGGAANATTTAATTTTTCCCAAATCGTGGCCTGACATGATCATTTTTAGTGCAGAGTACATTATTGGGATGGTTTGGGGGTTGACGTTGCTAAAGCACTATGGCAATATGGCAATATGGCACTATGGAAATAAGGTGTAAACTTTAATGTTTGTTTAATTAATTAATTTCAATTAATTCATTAGGCTTGCAGTAAGGGGGGGGGGGTTAGGATGGGTAGGTAGTTGTGAGCACTACGTAAAATGGGTGGTGCATGTACCTACCTTACTTTTATGATCACTTCGAGAAGCTATCTATTTGTTTCAGAGAGCCCCTTGCTCTCCTTTTGGTACTTTTCTCTTTAGAACAAAACCAATATTTGCTCTAAATGCATGCGCAGATTAATAAGCATTAGTGTCAACTACACCTATCAGGTGAAAGATACATTTCATACAAGATCACATGCTAACGTTGAGCACTTTTCCTTGTGGTAGAACCCTAATAAGTCATACGCGTGCGTTCTAACGTTGTTAGCATGATACAAGGATGTTACTGTGACTGCATGTCTTTTGGAATTACACCTACATGTAACTTGGTTCAAGAAGTATCATCTATTGTTTCCAAACTACACTAGTGCGTTTATTTCATCCTTTAATTGTCTCCGTCAAAGAGACCAAAATGTTCATACCCACAGCCGAAACTCTCCCGAGTAAGTGGCATTATATCCTTCACCGATGAAGGATATAATCTCGGTCAAGTAGCGTTGTTTACTTTCAATACTTCTGGTTGAAACGCTCTGCAGTTGTATTAATCGATATCAATGTGTATTTTAAATTTAAGTGGTTTTACTGTTGACGCCAAAGGTGGCAACAGGACACGCTGTTTCGTGNAGGTCAGTGCAAACCAGGAGTGAATGGCAGGGGTTATATAGGAACTGTGTCATGAGTACTGCATCAGAGCTATGCATTACACTCTGCACTATCTGAGATTGTCTCACGTTTTAATACATCATCTGTGTGTAAACAACAGCATAAGCTGTTTATTGACATAAAAAGCTGATCTGAAAGTTAAAATCGCGGCACCGTTAGTACTTAATGTGTTCAACATGTTCACTTAACGTGTTCAGAAACTGAAACAATGTACAAATCTGATACTACATGACGAAAACTATACATCCTTTGTTGTCTCATTACTCATCCACAAAATGGAGGGAGGGGAGGGGAGCACTTATTCAAGGGGAGGTGCTTATTTTAAATTTCGGCCTGTAGGAGGAATGCTTATTCGAGGGGGGGGGGGGCGCTAATTCGAGGATTTATGGTATTTCCATCTGGTCATTTAGCTTGGGCCTTCAAAAACATAAACCTGTGTCCTTTAATCTTCCTTCCAACTTCCTTCCAATAATATTGTTTAACTGACCATTTTCTTCTTTGAACTTTTTTTGTTACCAGATAGCTCAGTTTTAATGTATGCTCAATTGCCGTGTAGTTCCAGTTCAGGATGTGTGCAAGTTTTTGACAAGTCTCTGAAAGAGTTTATGTCAAACTCTTTAGAAGTGGAAGGCAAATATGTGTTTGTTCAGGTAGGGCCTGACTTAAGATTATTTAGCAACAAGACAATGGGATCAAGATTTCCATCACACATAGAAATCAGCAGTAAATAATCTAATTGTAGTTGTGATTAACTTAACACATGTGTTACAAGTGGGTGTAATGTTAGAAGCCTCACAGTTTTCAGGGCTTACTATAAGTAATGATAATTGGATCAAGTGAAGTGCAATTCAGGGAATAATGGGGTGAGTAATTTCAAAACTGGATGAACGTGTGACAGCATCTTTTGAAGCGAATCCTTTGAAGGTGGATTTTGACGTGACGTGAACTTAAACGGTTACTTTTAGCAGCTTGGACAGCATGGTTGTTTTTAAATAGATGTTTTTATTTTTGAAAGAAGTAGAGAAATAGACGAGAAAAAAAATCGACCGACCTCATATTGAACCGGTGTCACGACAAAACATAACTCGAATCCAGCCCGTTCAGCCCTTATTTGCTTGCGCTAGCAAAGCAACAGTAAGAGAATAGTGTAATTATATGGATAATAAAACTAGCAGCAAATGCCACGCTTTGGTGACTTCATCGTTTAGCCAAACAAAAGGTTTCTTTTGTTTTTCATTCAACAAAAGATCTCTAAAAGAAACCCTTGGAAAACTGAGTTTTTTGCATACGTTATTTCTCGAAAACGAAGCACAAATCAACAAAAACAATTATGCAACGATGCTTTTCATATCAAAGAAAGCAAGTCAGTCTGCCAAAAATTAGCTCGATCCTGCAAAAAATAAAAATCGGTCCAAAATGCTATATATGCCCTTTTTGCACAAAAGCCTTCAATTGTAGAGATCAAGGCTACAGGTGAATCAAAGCTTAATGACATCCCTGGTTTCTTCTTATGGTCACCCTTGTCACTTTCTGCATCTCATCTGTTCTTGCATCCATATTGTTCCTTTATGAATGGCAAGATAGTAAAAATAACCTGATCAAAAAACCATTAAAACTATTTCTAATTATATGTTAAATACTTTTTTTTTAATTTTGCAGAAAGATTTGAAGCTCAAAGGATTGTATGTTTTCTACCAAAACAGCTCCGGTTTTCACACTAACTTCTTTCAGAAAGCGCAGTTTCCCCTTGATGTAGAAGAAAAAGTAAGTGCGTAATTAATAATGTTCAAATACCTTGCCCATTGAAGGATTTCTGGTTTGAAATTCTAGTTTAGCTCACACTTTCCTTTGGAATGTTTGGCTTGAGAGGCCCACCCCTTGAAATTTCCCATGTCCTTTCATGCATGAGGTACATGTAGCTATGGATCTTTTCTGGAACTACACATTTTATTAACCAAATCCTTAATTAGGTAATTTGACTGCATACCCCTCAGTCAAAACATTAGTGTCCCAGATGGGAGGGAGGGGTTAATCCCCGATTAAAGAATGATGGTGGACAGAAATTTGGAAAAGAGGCACTAAATATGTACCTGTCCAGTGTTTCATTTTGTAGTCGTGGTGCAGATTATTTTTCACCCCTTGGACTATACTTCTAGGGCTTAGGTACTTGTTATAAGTCTGAAACAACAAGTTAACTGGCGTAGACAATTTGCTGGCTTCATGCCCTAACAATTACTGCTATGACTCTAATGATGGCCTTTTTGGTGAGATTTTACTTCCCTATGTGCTACCAATTGTCAAATTTACTCCTTAACCCTTCAAGCTGCAGAGAAAAACCTTATTTTTGTAAAATGACAACAGTACTAGTAGATCGAAAGACCACAAGTAATATACCAGTTGAAAGGTATTGTTTGGGGGTATGCCCTAAATCACCATAACAGACATACAAGATGTCAGAAATTGAATTGAGGAGTCTACCAAGTGAAAAAAATGAAACGTTCAAGAATACCTTATTTCCTTTGTATATATTGGGTATACCCCTAAACAATAGCTTTATTTGCAGCTCTAGGTGTGCAGATTTTTATCACATATTCACTTGTTCGTAAAATTGTAAAACACAAAAGTTGAAAAAACTTGAGGGGTGGTTAATCAAGTCTGATTTAGGTGCGGGGTGAGATTTTATGCTTCCAACATGAAGATATCTCAATGATCCTTTTGGTGTTCAAATCTGAAACGAGTTGGCCAAAATATTAAGCTCATTATAATATTTTGTGCCATGTTGCACTATCTGTGCTTAAAGAGTTAAAATGTAGGATGAGTCCACCTGCAGGGTTAGTGTATCGTTGTAAGTCAAAAGCTGATTATTGTGCAATGTTTGACTTGGTAGCTTTACAAGGTTGTTGATGCGAGTGAAAATGAAATGATGGTGGCGGTGAGACATGACACAAAAGACAATCAGCCCTATTACAACTTGTATGTGTCAGATGTGACAGGAGTGAAGTATTCGCTCTCCTTGAAGAATATCCTGGCTGCCAGGACTGAAGTATGGGGACAGAACACAACGCTGGTTGATATTCACAGGGTAATAATGACAGTTAACATATAAAGTCTGTTATCTCGCATGCAGTTGGCCTAAAATAATGCAATACGGCAATATAGGTAAATTTAAAGTCTGCATATGAGCCAAGTGGCCCACCAGGCTGGAGCTTATCCCGGTTTCTGTAGCATGAAGCGACTAGGAGATTTTTACTCCCTCATGGATGGGATAATAGTTGATCGCAGGGTTACCCCCAGCATTAAATTCACCGGTACCCATTTATGCACCTGGGTTGAGAAAGGCACTGTGAGAGTAAAGTGTCTTGCCCAAGAGCACAACACATTGTCGCCGGCCAGGGCTCAAACCCAGACTGCTTGATCCATGAGGTCACCGCACCTCCCTTAACAGCAGTATATGTATACTTGTTAATCACAACCTAAATGAGAATGCATCTAAACAGAAAATATCGCTTAATCTCTAAGTGATATCGACTGGTTCGGAAGTTCAGTTTCCATCACGTGTAAATAACTCGTGTTTGATATAACAAAATTCTAACATGGTTCGGAGGCTTCCTGCTGAAATTGTAAATTTTCTGTCAGATTTCTTTGTCTGGTAATTCCTGAAAGAGATTTGATACCAAAAGAAAAACAACAACAACAACAGAAAAAACAAAAGATAAAACGTTAACAGATATACATATATTACAGAAGTGTTAGAATTTTCAGTTGATCAATACATGATTATTTAGAATATGGCCTATTGTTGATTAAAACTGAATGGAGTTGAGAGAATTGGTTTGAAAACCTAGCAAGATTTCGGGATATGATTGTAATGGTTTACACTCCTTGTGTGTGTTCAGAGACTTCTCATCATAAATGGCTTTTTTTGAGATCCTACATTCTAAAACAGGAATAATCATTGACAATTTATGTCCGAAATTTAGTGTTTGAATTTCATTCCCATTTCGTTTTTCATTGGATAATGGAAGAAATTCATGAAAGAAATATTTGTTTCAATTATTTAGTGATTTTTTTTGCTTTATATTTCAAATAATATTGGTGTAAATATGTATATTCATTATTTAATTAATAGTATCAATCTCCAGGCATTTAATGTGCTTATCTTACAGATGCTAAAAAATGGATCATTAGCCGGAATAAGACTTGTTCAAAATTTAAAAAACGCTCTCTGGTAATGGTTGAAATAGTTAAAAACTTAGTACAGTTTTTGATTGCCAGTCTGCAATCTTTGACAAACAGTGAATAAAATGTGCAATCCTGAGAATATAGTAAAGTGTGAAGAAGAAAAAATTACAACAAAAACAAAAAGATGCTAGTGAGGAAATAAAATGCTAAATAATGGAGTTCAGAAAAGAATTCAATATTGTCTGGGTAATGGTTTTGAGTTCTTGTCCGATTCAGTTGTTATTGCGGTATGCCAGGATTCCAATGTGGCCAATCATGCTTGGTTCAACGGCCACTCCATTGACTTTAATAATGTCCATGTAATCGCCAAGTGAAAATTTTGGCATGAGATAAGCACCTTTTTGTTTTTATTGTAATTTTTTTTATTTCACACTTGTTGCTGCGTGTAGTTTAATGATCGCGCTCTTTGCTCACTATCAAAGATTGCAGATTGCAGATCAAAGAAAATTCAGTCGAAGATTGCAGATTGCCAATAGAAAGCTGTAGTAATTTTAAACTATTTAACCAGAGAACATTTATTTATTTATTTTTTTAATTTTGAACTTACAAATGTTTTTGTTGAATTCACTTTCTAGGTGAAGGGTCTCAATGGAACATACTTGGCAAATGTCTACCTCAGAGATACATTCAGTGGTGCCCAAAAATTTAAGTCTGTGATCACATTTAACAAGGGAGGGAAGTGGTTCCCTCTGAAGGCTCCAAGTGTTGATCATAATGGCAACCCTACAAACTGTTACCCGGTCAGTCATGTTATGTAATTTTTCCAATAATAATAATAGTAATTTTTTTTAGTGCAGAGTGCACTATTGGGATGGTTATGGGAGCTGCCTGCCGCTAAGGAACTAAGGCACTATGGCCATATGGCCCTATGGCGCTAAGGTGTACACTTTAATGTTTGTTTAATTAATTAATTTCAGTTAATTAATTAGTCTAGAGGCAAGGAAGTAGTGGGGGTAGGGTGGGAAAGGTACATGTGTACTCTACGTA